TTCAAAAAAATTGAATTTTTTTTAAAAAATTTAAAAAAATGTACTTTTTTATTTTTAAAAATTTAATTTTTTATTCTATTTATATAAAATAAGCCACAATGTGTGTGTAATAAAGATATATTTGACTTTATAAATCAACTTATTGCTAATAATTAGAATAATTATTGCAGAAAATATCATGCGCGTCGTAAAACTTACAATTTGTTTCTTACAAAAATTTTTCTTATTTTTTTATGTGCTTATTATTTTTAAAATTATGATTATATTTTAGACATTTTATACTTTTTTGAAACTTTATTCCTTTATAAAAAATGTGTAAGAGAATCAAATTATTTCATTTTAACCTCAAAGAATTATTTCTAGTCGAAAGTTGTTTATATTTTGTGCTCTCGGAAACATTTTTAACTCCCCTGAGACCTCTTAATGATGCGGCATAAATAAATATTCACTGACTCACATCATTACCTCGGTAAGAATTTTTCTTGATTTGAATCTCGACCTTAGACACTTGAGTATAATTATATTGAGTTAATTCCCTGGAATTTTTATCTTTATAAAAAAAAATGCAAATTCATCTAACTTGATCCAATTTTTCCACATACGAGAGGCCGCGGCAGCCAAGTGACCTTTCGAGTCGTGGGTCCAAGTCCTTAGGCTATTAAGGACCCCTCATGTAATTCGCATGAAATCTGTCGAGGGTCAAAGTCTTGACGTTGTCTCGCTTCCAAGTGACTATTGCAGAACAACCGCGGTCAACTGACGACTTCTGAGCGGGTTGATATCTTTAACATCCTTCTACACGACGGGTCTTCAAAGGGACTCAAGGTGTGGAAACTTCCTGAGCTCGCTCGCTTGACCGTAGGCTCCAATAACCTTGTCGTTTCATCAATAAACACACATTACACACACATTTTCATTACACACACACAAAAAACAAAATTTGTGTTCAACCTACTCGATCCTATTTTGGGGCTTTTTTAGTGTAAATATTTCGATTATTTTTTTATTGATATTATATAGTTTTATTTAAAGTGCTTGAATATTTTTATTTTGAATCTGCGTCTCAGAAAATCCTCCGAGAACCATTTTTTTTTAATACCCCCTTAGATTTGGTTGTCTATTTTTTTGTTACTGAAGACCTTTTTTGTTTTTGTTAAATGCTCAATACAATTAATTGCTCTATTTTCCAAAAGCTGTTTCTTTTCTCCAGAAAAAAAATAATTGTTTTTCAACCCTAAAAAGCGTTATACCATAATAAGGCAATGTCCACAGTACGCAAAATTTTTAAAACATAGTCCTTTTTTTCCAAAAGAAACTTACAGGACAAACAACGAACGATTTTTTTTCTGCATAAGTTATTTTTAATAATCAATATTGATAATCAGAAACCATCAAATATTTTCAAACTGCTTCCGAACTTTTTTCATCCATGCAAGAAATATAGTTTTAGAAAGTGAATTTTGTCTGCATTTCAAAGGTATGTTCTGTGTCCCAACAATTCCCCAAGAAGTACACAAGCGAATTATTTTCAGTTTTCTTCCCTTCGAAAGATATCACCTTACTTCCCCATTACAGATTGATGTAATTTTGAATAACATCTTGAGCTGGCCTCTTAGTTTCCTCTTTCAGTCATATAGATGCGTCGTAGAATCCTAATAATGAGAACTAGGGATTGCAATATCGGACCTAAAGTTCAATACCAGTATTTGGTATTTTTTAGATCTTAATACCGGGATACCGGTTTTAATACCGGTAGTAGAAGTTTTAGGAAATGAAAGAAAATACAGGTGTTTCTTTGTTTTATTTGCCAGTTTTATTAGAGAGTGTAAATATCACAAAAAATTAATTTGTAGTTTTTAAATTATAACAGTATATAAAGAATCACAAAAAAGTAAAGGAACATCTCATTTATTTAAATCACAAAAAGAGTGTAAATATCACTCTTCAGTCTGTGGTACTATTACAAATATTTGAAATGTGATTTTAAAAAACATAATGCATTAATTGTACTGTCATTAAGCCTGGAACGTAATTATGTACAATAATTATCCGCTATCGCGCGCGCGCGCGAAAACGCTCTTTCGGCTTCTACGCTAGTTGGTGATACTGTTGGCAATACGTGATATACTTTTTCCGAGTATTTACCTCTAAATCTCTCATCTTCAAAAAATTCGATTTCTCGTAGAATGGTTTTGGATATAGCCAGTAGCGCACACACGATTTTTTCAAGGGAGAGGGGGGGAGGGGTCCGGGGTCGAAATTTCACCATTCTTGTATGAAACTCCATTTGATTTTGTCGATTTTCGGGAACAAAACACAATAAAAACTAATTATTGAATAGATATTAGCATTAATCAATAAAATTAATCATTAATAACAAATATTTAACTAAATTTTACGTTCTATATACTTAGAATTATAGTCAATCTGAAAAGAAATCAAGGGTTTTTTTAGGGGGGTCCGGCCCCCCCGGCCCCCCCCCCCCATTGTGTGCGCCACTGGATATAGCTGATTTCTGTATTATGTTTTGATTTAAGGAAATTTTTTTTAGTTATCGCTAATTGTAATTTTTGTTCAAGAGACAATTCCTTTCCAATATCAACAATAGTGTCATCATCATCGATAACTGTACCTAATTCTTCTGAATGTGGATAAGATTTGTGGGTAGCAAATTTTAATAAAATTTACTATAAACTTGATCAAATTTGTATTGGTTAGTCTCTTTTCTTTTCTTTTTCATTTTCAGTTATAAAATCCTGATAATATGTAAATACACAAGTATGATACCCAAATGCAATATGAATAACAAACTCCCCAATTAAAAAAATATCTCCTTCCCAACTACAACTTTGTTATCAAAGAAACGAATATCAGACTACGAATCCTGTGCAGTTTCGCTCTGAGAATAATTTTGGATAATTCACATATTTTATCACTTCTTTTGATTGTGCAACTTTACATTCGCAGTCTAATTAATTTCTCCGTTAGAGAGACATAAAAACGAAAACATATACTATTTTGCTAATTTGGAAATCGCTGAACATATAGTGGAGACAGTTTTAAAAAAAAAATTCTATTAAATACCGAAAAACCAGTATTTAAACTTCTGAATACCGGTATTAAAAACTGTACAAATGGCTCAAAATACTGGTATTTGGTATCCCGGTATTGCAATCCCTAATGCGGACGATTGATTGAATATTAACGTCGCACTGTTCAGCTACACGAGGGCTTTTGGTGACGGACCACGTAATTTTGAACCATGGTCAAGTGACGTGGACGACACCTGAGCTGGCACCCCCCTCTCCTAACTACTACACCACACCAACGGGAGGACGTTTCAGCTCTCGACAGATTTAACGTGCAACGCTGCCCTACACGGCGGGTCTTTAGTGGTACTGGCCTCGAACTCGTGACAAGGCAAGCCACGATCCGATACCTATACCACTCGGCTACCGCGGCCACCCTAATGCGGACGAACCATCGAGACAAATGTTTCCTACACACATTATATCGTAAGGAATATTCATTCCGTATTCATTTGCTTTACTTTGCGCGCTTACGGAAAATCAATTTCCCGAACGAGATTGGGTACTTTCACGTCTCTATGACAGATTATGTATATAGAATGCGTAGAAGAATGATTTTGATATTCTTATATTGGCTAGAGAGGAAACAACATTAAATTAGATGGGAAGAACTGGGAGTAAATATTTATGGGGGAAGATTCTCACATTTAGCACTGTCTTAAATTGTAAGTTAATCTAATTTGATTTTTACAACCTTGTGTGTGTGAGTACTTTAATATTAAAAAAACACAAAGTTTTATTATTTTCTTGAATAAATGCTTCAAAATTTAGGAGTAACCTTTTTAATTCATATGATGATTTTATCATTATAAGAAAAAATTAATGAAACAAAATATATTTAATAAATCCCTAAATTAAATTATTCCTAATTTTTTAAAAAGAATTAAAACGTAGTTCCATGAAATAAATTATTAATTTTCAGTTTCTTGTGGTGGAAATTATTTTTTTTAGGTTCGATCCAAATTTGATTCTTTTTAAAAATGTTTTTCTTATGTTTCAGTTTTTGGCATTCGAACAAAACAAGAAATTTTTGAGTAAAAAGCTTGTACAATATAAAAATTATTTCTTAAAAATATACACTAGAACATATTTTTAAGTAAGCAAAGTATGTCAAGGAAAATACACGCAATGCAATAGTGTATATTAATATATAAGGGTGCATTATAATAAATAAAATAAATTAGTATGTATTAATGAAAAGAAATTCACTAATAAAATAAGAAGTGAATTTCTAGTCACTCAAAATATTTAAGTAAATCTTTCAATTTGTATTAAGATTACAGTACATATATTCTTTTAGTATACATTTCAATTAAAAAATCATCCTGTGTTTAATTTTAAAAAGTGTGTGTGTACTTATGTACGCACGCATAAGAAGTTATACTTCTTTGGCGTAATAAGATTAAAATCTTTTTAAAAGTCTTTAGCAGGGCAAGCTGGGCCAAGGACGAAAGGCGGTCACGAGCAGAGTTGAACGATACCAACTTTCAGTCAATCGGACCAGCCAAACCTGAGATAATCAGAATTTAAATAAATTTAAACACCCCCGCACAGGGACAATAGGACCAATAATATGGGGAGGGGGTCGAAGGCGGGAATGATCTGCCCCATTTTGCATATTTCTAGATAAAGCATTTTCGTATCCATTCCTACGGAACGCATAGAAAAGGTTCGCTGAAGCGGGGTATAGCTCAGTCGTAAAGCATTCGACTGTAGATCGAGAGGTCCCCGGTTCCAACTCGGATGCTCCCTTCTTCAGGGAAGTGAAGAGAAATATTTGTTTGAGAAATTCGTAGGCATGAATGATCTGACCCGTTCTGAATATTTCTAATTAAAGCACTTTCGTATCCGTTCCTACGGAGCGCATAGCAAAGATTAGCTGACGCGGGAGTATAGTTAAGTGGTGAAGTATTCGACTGCAGATCGAGTGGTCCCCGATTCAAACCCGGGAGTCTTTTTCAGGGAAGTGAAGCGAAAATTTTTTTTGAGGAATTTGAAGGCGGGAATGATCTGTCTCATTCTGTATATTTCTAGACAAAGCATTTTCGTATCCGTTCCTACGGAACGCAAAGCAAAGGCTCTCTGACACGGGGTGTATAGCTCAGTGGTAGAGCATTCGACTGCAGATCAGGAGGTCCCTGATTCAAACCCGTGTGCCCCCATTTTCAGGGAAGTGAAGAGAAATAATTTTTTTGAGAATTTCGAAGGCGGCAATGATCTGTCCCGCTCTGTATATTTCTAGACAAAGCATTTTCGCATCCGTGACGGTGTGCATCACATCCGTGACGGTTTTGCATCACATCCGTGACGGTGTGCGCGCGCATTGTAAAAATTTACCCTCATCCTATTTCTCTAACGCCCCAAAAGAAGTATAACTTCAAAAACGTTTTAGTTTTTCAAAAATAAAGCCCAAAACTAGAACATTTTCTCGGTCTGATTATTGATACTATGATGAGATCCTTATCACAAGCCCCCAGTGTTCGCTACAACCCTTAATGTCTACAAATATGCCAAAATGTCCCTTTTTTGGTCCATTCTACCAGCTTCTAGTCTATACTTGAAACTCAATGGAGGCAAATTTCATTCTATGTAATGCCATGTCTTTGGATGAAAACTACTTTGGAAAGAATTTATTTCCACATAAAATGTTTTTTTTTCTCTTTTAATCAATTCATCTTTTCATTATATCCTCCAAAAAGTTTTATTTTCTAACATTTCCTCTATTGATCCATTTCGTATGTATACGAACCAATATTTTTAAGGATTTGAGAGTATTAGAAATAATTTTAAATCATTTGAAATATGAGTTTCAAACTGCTATAAGTTAGTTGGAAAAATAAAAAAGTTTGTATTTTTTTATATCGAACATGACCTGTTGCATATTTCAATTTTCTTCTACTCCAATTTTCTTCCTATTCAATTTTCGTTATGCTAACATAGAATCTCTTCATAAAAGAAAAAAAAATAACTATTTTTAACTCAAATTGTAATACCACGATAGAAAATCTCTACGGGTTAATAGTAAGAATTGATCTCACATCCAATTTTCCAACTCGATTTGAGGAGCTCAATGGGATTAAAGTTAGTATTTTGTGTGATCCAACCAGTTCTCTATCCAGGAAAAGTTTCGATTGAAGGACATATATAGAGTTTGATCTTTCCCTTTTGGCTGCTTTTTACTTTTGCTTTTGATCACTTCTTTAGGGGTGACAATTATCTTTCTTTCTGAAAAAATCAAAAAGGTCATTTTTTATCATGGAGAAAGAAATGAAATTTGTAAAACATAACTGAGGTATTCATCTTTTTTCTTTATTAAATCAACTTTATTCAACATATGTTTGAAATCTAATTACTGAGAACTGTTTCAGAATCCTGATAGATTCAATTAATACTTCCAAAATCAAAAAGTCAAGTTACCTAAGAAAATACACTCACTTCCAAAAGTTAAGCACGAAGACGTAAAATGCAAAAAAATCAACAAATACTGCTTTGATTGACACAAAATTTGGCAGTAAAGTAGCATATATATTTATACATAAAACAAAATCAATAATTATATACAGAAATGAAAACAATATTAAATTTTTGTAAGTAATCAGAATGTCATACTGGAGACTTAAACATAATTATGTATAAAGTGAAAATAAACAGCATAAAATGAAAAAAAGGACATTAATAGGGTATGTGATCCCCCCTCATCTGTATGCAAAGCTTACACCTTCTGACCAAGCTTTCAATTAGGTGATCAACCACCGCAGAATTAAGCAATCGCCATTCTTATTGTCGAGCAGTTTCCAGCACAATAAGAGTGGCTGGAGGTGGGAAACGTGAAGATACAGCACGGCCGAGAGCATCCCAAGGAATTTTAATGGGATTAAGATCGGGCGAATATGCTGGCCACGCCATACGCGCATTCCCTTCACTCTTCAGGTAGTCATCGACGATGTCAGCTCTATGGGAATGTGCGTTATCGTGCATTAAAACAAAAGTAGGTCCAACGGTTGCAGCGTACAATCTCACAATGAGTTCTAGGACTTCATCTCAATATCGGACAGCCGTCACAGAACCCCGTTTAAAGATGTGTAGGTCGGTGCGGTATCCTAATGAAATCCCTGCCCACACCATAATGCTTCCGCCTCGGAATGCGTGATGTTCGGTGATGTTTTGGGACCGATTGCGTGTTACCTGTTTACGCCATATCCTTATACGCTTAACGCTTATACGGCTCTAGAGCAAATCTTGACTCATCAGTAAACATGACATTGCCCCAGTCAGACACAGTCCAATTGCCATGTTCCCGGCACCACTTTAATCGTGCCCCTCTTGATTGGACAGATAGAGGAACACAAACTCGAGGTAACCGGGCATACAGTCCATTCATATGTAATCTTCGGCTTACAGTAGCTGCAGATACAGCCTTACCAATAGACGCTGTAACCATAGATGTCACACGTATGGAGGTCGCTTTGCGATTCCGCTTGGCTACAATAGCAATATTTCGACCTTCCGCGGGGGTTGTAATCCTTGGGCGACCACCTACGGGCCTTCGGACAACTGTCTGTGTATTTTGGAATTGTTTCCATAAATGTGAAATTACAGAATGATGAACTCCGAAGAAAAGAGCAACATCTATGATCGACTGTCCTGCTTCAATGCACCCCACAGTACGCCAGCACTCAGAATCTTCCATTCGTTTTCTGGAAGTCATAGAAACACGTATGTATTGAAAACAAATTGTACGAAAGTTTTAAACACCTTCTATTAGCACTTAAATCAACTTCTGTAACCCTTCATAAAGCTGGCTTCTTATAAGACTGCCCTTTTTGCATATTTCTTGAGATGAAAGTACGATTGGCTGTTATCTAACATATTTGCATTCTTCCATCTACCTCTGAAGCGAATTGCATCCTCTTCAATTCTGATTGGCTTCCGGAAATTAGCATTTTCCTCTCCATGCTTAACTTTTGGAAGTGAGTGTATATCTTTTGATTAAGAATTTCGACAATATTCGTAAATACAAAAAAGCGATGTCTTTCGAATTTTTCTTATATCAAAGTTAAAGTATTTTTTAAACGCATTTGATTATTGTAGCTTGGATTTTGAAAAGTACAGTTCATAGTTAAGATGTTATAGTAAAAACAAGCTCCGACCACTAATATACATCTAAAATAGAACTTTCAATTCATATAACATCTATAAATATAATAAGAAACATCACTCACTTATATAATTGAAAGAAAAATCTTGCTCAATGAGAAATGACATTTATGGAATTCCAATACGTGATCATCATAAAAAAAAGAGTTTTCAAATGAAACAATCCAAGATTCATTGTTTTTTTTAATCATATAATTATTTCACCAAGGTTTCAATGACTTATGATAACTATATATTCTCTTAAAATAATTCATGGGTAATTAATTGCATTTTTTAAAATTTATGGTGAATACATTACAACTGGTTTGACTCCATACTACATATTCATTATCCAAAATTAACTCCTAATAAATTTTTCACATAATTAACTCATCTTTGACTTGTTTTAAAATGTCTAGTTTTTGTTATTTTATCCTCTGGGAACATATGAAATACAAATGAAGAACAGAAAGCATACACAATACAATAGAAGAATGAACACATTTATTGCAGATGATGATCCCAGCATACAACAAGAAGGAGTGCGCTGCTTTCCTTTCGAGACGGGAATCCATTACAGGCAAAAGACCGACTTTTTTCCCTCGAAGAAGATACAACCATGTCTTACTCGGGATTCGAACCCGAACCTACTCTGTTACAAGCCGAGGGTCATAGCCACCCTACTGGCTGGGCGACTTGTCTAGTTCTTTTAAATTTAGATAGGAATGTGATTTTTAGTCCCCCGTGAAATAACATAGCTTGAGCTAGAAAATTGTATATTTTCACCTCAGATACTTACAAATCGATGGAAAATATGGATATCACTTAATCTTAAGAAAATAGGGTACTATAAACTTGAAATATAATAATTAGCAGTGTAAATGTAAGCAACTTACACCTTTATATGTACAGCATTCAATTTATCAATTCTACTGTTACACAGCATGTAATTCGCATTGAAACGGATTATTTCCTTAAAAAAAATAACAGCCGTTTTTTGTTTTAATCCTAGCAATAGAAACTAATATTGGAAATATTTTCTTATATGTAATATTTCTTTTACAGGGATGTTTTTGGTAGTACTTGTGAAAATCTTTACTTAACTTTTCTTCCTGTGATCATTAATTTTCTCTCATTTTTTTGCTTCTTGAAATATTTCCCCTCGGACCTTTATTCTGTTCTTCTCTACTGACTCTCCTCTAGCTGTAGGGGAGCGATGCACGTTAAATCTGTCGAGAGCTCAAATGTCCTCCCGTTGGTGGGTGTAGTTAAAACACCTGCCAGCTCAGGTGTCGTCCTCTTCACTTGACCATAGTTGAACATTTCGAGGTCAAAAGCCCTCGAGTAACTTAACAGTGCGACCTTTATTTTCACTCACTCACCTCTACTCAACATCATTCATTTCCATAATGAAACATGTTCATTTGCATCACGGTTCTTTCGAAACTCTCATGGCTGCGGTAGCTGAGTGGTATGGGTATCGGATCGTGGCTTGCCTTGTCACGAGTTCGAGCCCCGTACCACTAAAGACCCGCCGTGTAGGGCAGCGATGCATGTTAAATCTATCGAGAGCTGAAACGTCCTCCCGTTGGTGTGGTGTGGTAGTTAGGAGAGGGGGGTGCCAGCTAAGGTGTCGTCCACGTCACTTGACCATGGTTCAAAATTACGTGGTCCGTCTCCAAAAGCCTTCGTGTAGCTGAACATTGCGACGTTAATATTCAATCAATCAATCGATCGAAAGTCTCATATCAGACATGACAGTAAAAAGAATTCCTATAAGTTCATATGCCAACAGAGGAAAAATTATCCTGCATTTTCTCTTTGC